GCCGCGAGACGCGGGGCAGAGGAGCCCGCCCCGCCACCCCGCGCAGCTGCCTGCCCCCGGCCCCGAGCCTCCGTCGCCGCCCGCGCGCCCCGCAGTTGGGACCTCGCCGCCGCCTCGGCTTCTCCCCGACTTGTGCTGAAGCCTCCGCGGAGCAGCAAGATGTCCAGCAGCGTCCCGGCGGACATGGTGAGTGCCGCCCGCCCTCGGCACGGGGGACCCGGGAAAGGCCGCCAGAAAGTTGCGGGATGCTGAACCCCGCTCCATGCCCCTGGCAGCGCAGGTGCCGCTGGGGGCACGGGGAGCCGCGAGCTCCTCCTGGCATGCGGCGAGGCCGAGCCGGGAGGACATCTTCTGTCTCTGGGACTCGCTCCGCTTTCCCTTGCCTGCTGTTCCCATCTCAGCCCTGGCTCCGGCTCCGGGGCCGGGGGCCGGCGTCCGAGCCGCTTGCTCCAGGAGCAGCCGAGATTCAGGTTGATTCCTCCTTGCCAACTGATCTCGCGGGCTTGCTGCATCCAGTGCCGGTGGGGAGTGAATCTCTTCCCTCGGTACAGGTCAGCAGATTAAAAAAAAAAAAAAAATAGAAACCCAACAAATCCCCCCCAAACCTTTGTGTGCCTCTTGACACAGTGAGATCTCTTGTGTACTAGCTGTAATCTGACCTGGACGTTTTTCAAGGACACTGCTATCCCTTATGGCGGACTGTATGCCAGCCAGTGTTTGAGACCTGGCTCAGAAAGGTAGAGCTAGGCATATTTTGGGACTTTGGAAGGAGAAGGGGAGGACTCTTCCCCGAGTCTTTCATGTCTGCAAGTTCATCTCTGTGCACCATTGGCTTTCCTGATGTACGTGTTTCTAGGATACCATGAGATAAGGTATTAATATATTTTGCTGTACTTCCTCTTTATTCTTGCAGCAACACATTTTCCCTCACCAGGGAAAATTCTTTGTATTTAAAGGTGATTGATAGTGACTTGAACAGGAGTTTTTTTCCTATCTTTTGGTGTGAAATTACATCTTGCTGTCATAATCCAGTACTGTTGGAAGAAGGTAAAGATCAATAGCCCTTGTTTCTGGCATGTGCAATATGCAGTTCATGGTTCCTGCACATATGTGATAACTAGGCTATTGAAATGGAATAATGTATAGGTGCTCCTTTTCATTGTTCCTTGTAAAGAGTTAGTTTGGCTGCAGTAGAAAAACTGAAGTTTGCTTTTTTTTTTTTTTTTTTTTTTTCAAAAAGGAGAAGCAGTAAGAAGAATAACAACTATAAACAGGTTTTCAGGTTTGGGGTTTTTTTTCTTTTCAGATCGTATGTATGTTATGCCTCTGGAAAGGTGGGGGTAGATCTCTTGCCTCAAAGTCCAAAGCCTTTCTACGATATCTTCCTACTATAATATTAGTTAACATAGTTTATTCTTTAAAATACCTTACATTTTCTTTCTACCCTCCAGTCACATGTAATGACAATCATTGTTTGGCTAGGAAGGGTCGGATTCAAATCCGTCTGCACTACTGCTTACACTGGTTAGAGAAGTCCCTTGATGGTGATATGAAGCTGTTTCCCCCCTTTTTCTGAGTTGAGCACACTGCCACCTCAGTACCCCTAGACCCTTCTTAACTGGGCATTTGCTGCTGCTAGACTTCTTGTGTTGAAGACTCCATCTTATATCAATATATACACTTAAAAAAAGGAATGGACACATTTTAGCTATAAAAAAATATTACTCTGTTTTTTTTAAAGCTGTTAAGTGTTCTGATGGAGCCAGAACACAGCTGGTAGAAATATCTGGGTCTAGAAATAAATTGTAATTTATTAATAATGTAATAAATTTGTAAGCTAGGAAGATCCTGTTACAAGTAATGACTTCTTTATGGTGACTTAAAAAAAAACAGATGATACCGTTACCTCTGTCAGTCCACTTTTAGCCAACATTCTAGTTTTATGTTTGATTTTTCAGGACTGTTTTGATAAATTGTTGTTGTTTAGCTGCAGTTGCTCTTTGTTTGGAGTACAGTGAGAATTGAGGCTGTTTAAATACAGATTAGTCAAGAATGAATTTGCCAAATTTCCTTCTAGCTTCCTGTTATAAACAACCTTCTCATTTCAGAAGTAAGAATCAGATTGTCTAGTAATTTATTTCAGCTGATAGTTCCTAGAGGAGATTTCTCAGGCCATCACCTTATTTATATTTAGGTTTATATTTACTGTACAGTTTTGTAATTTGCATTTTCCTAATCCACTCGCTCCATAATTTGCACTCAAAATTATCTTTCCCTGCTTCTCAAAGAGGGTGCATCAGTATAGGGAGGAACATTATATTACTAAGATGTCATCACATTTACAAAACATTCTAATACTTAAATGTTTTTTAGCAGAATTAAAACTTTTGTCAGGGAAATTAAATACATTCTGCAGTATTTGCCTCAAGTTTTTAGTGGATATTTAACAATTTTGATATTTGCAATTGGTCTTTCATATAGAAGTTTGAATTGGCATGGTTCTACTCTGTTGATATTAAGAATTATATAACTGTGGCAAAATTGTATTCCAATCCCTAGTTAGTACAGTATTTGAATATATACCGAACTTTGGCCCTTTCCTTTTCTCGTCAATCTCATATCTAATTTGACTTCCTTCTAGAATGTTGTCTCTGTGTGGCTAAACATTTCAACATAAGTCTTAAAATGATTCAAGTAATAGTTCTTTATCATTTGCATTCCATTAATGAACTAGATTGTGACACGCTACATTCCAGGCATAATAAGTGTGTGGTGTATTACTGCCTTAGCAATACATACTGTGGAAAGGTTAAGGCTCCAGTCCTGCTAGTGTTGACCTCTGCACCCACTCAGTTTCATTTACTTCATTAGGACATCAGATGTGTAAGGGGTCAGTATTGGCAGATTACATTGCAGAAGTGGAACCTAATTTTGTTTGTTTTTTTTCCAGACAGACTATTGAGAGTGTAAGTGATTATATGGACCATCTCTTAATATTTCAAACACTTTCACCAGGCAGGCTGTTAGTTTGGCTATTCAGTCCTGGTTGGAAAAAGACTGTAAACAGCTTGCCTGTCAGATTTCTTTACTTAAAAAATAAAGTCTCTCAGTAGTTTGTGGATTCATTTAGTTAGTTTTACTGTACTCGTTTGACTGAATAAAAATATTTAATAGTTTGCTGTTTGAGTTTTCATACAATTGCAATAGACTGTTTCAGCACACCCTATAAAACTGTGCTCAGTGCAGAAACTACTACTCAGATCAGTGCTCCCAGTGATTTCAGTGGGGTTGTCTTACGAAGGTTGCAGGGTTGGGTCCATGTTTCTCAAACTGTGATGACATTCTTCCTTAGAAATACAGCTCCTCGGGGGCCTTGTAAGCTCTTTAGGTCAGGTGCCTTATGCATCCTTCACTCAGTACCTATTTTGCCTTTGGCACAATCTGAATATGAATCCTTTCTGCACTGTAAGACATTACGTAGGCCTAGGCAGGATTTTACTATTGACTTCTCTCCTGGGCAGTTCTTTGTCCTGTACATTTTTCTTCACGGTAAGTGTTGGCCAAAATTTGGAATGGGCTTCCAAGGGCGGTGGTTTTTAACCTACCTTGGGGGTTTTTAAGAGAAGGCTGGATAGGCATCTGACTGGGGTCATCTGACCCCAGCGCTCTTTCCTGCCGAGGGCAGGGGGCTCTTTCCTGCCTAGGCAGTGGGTTGGACTTGATGATCTCTTGAGATCCCTTCCAACCCTAACATCTACGAATCAGCTTCCAATGTGGGGACTCTTTTGGTTGCCTCTTTTGAAAAAAATGTTATAACCAGCACAGCAGTTAAAACTAGGAACTCATTGGAGTTCTAAGTTATTTTCTGGTCTGCCCTGGAGACCTTTTGCAACCTAGCATGTTATGCTTAAGTCTTAGTACAAGAGGACTGTTTTGAGTAAAAATTGCATAGCACTAACTCTGCAAAGCACTTAGACAAATAAGATGGAGTTCATACCCCAAAGCACTTTATCTACATGGGCAACAGAAAAAGAGGAACAACAAAATGTAACTGGTCAGGTTAAGCCTGTGTCTTGTAAGTTCTACAGTTTCTTGTGTGTGTGTGTGTGTGTGTGTGTGTGTGTGTGTGTGTGTGTGTGCATATGTACAGATCTTTTCAGTGAAAAGTAAAGTGGGACTGGGTAGCTTAGGATATATAGCCTTTGAACTGAACATCCGTGAGATGCATAAGAAAAGAAGGTGGAGGCATGTTGTCTTGGATCAGAAAGGGAGTCTTGGCCAAAAATTGGCAGGCTCGATTAAGTTTAGACAAGAAGGACCTGAATCAGTTGTTTGTTGTTTATCGGCAGAGTTAAATTATTTCTCCACCAGTCTAAAACAATTAAGTAGAGGAACAGGCAGTGAGAATATCAGCATAACACACTAGTAATAAGTAGTTTAATGTTTGTTATACTCTCAGCTTTAGGTTTCTGGGGATGTAATTAAATATGATGGCTGTATCTTACTTTTTGGTAGGCTTTGTGGTAATATCTGAAATAACTTTCCTCATTTTTGAAAATGAGGACATATCAAGTTGACTGTCACAGAGAAATTGAAGGACTGACTAATAATACACATTCTTGTTCAAAGTTAATGCTATGTATATACTAGACAACTGAAAATTACTTGGAAATAATTATACCCCTCTCCTCCCATAAAAATTCGTAACCCCTCCATGGCTTTTACCAAGCATCCTAATCGCAATGATAACTTGAACAAATACAGTATATCTGTACAGGATGCTGTTCCAGGTGGCAGGAGACCAAATTCCACAGTAGTGTTCAGCTTATTCTTTCATGCTTTCATATTATCTTCCCCACCTCATTCACCCTGGAAAAACACAGAGCTATAGCTCTTAGTTGACAGTACTCCTAGATGCAAAATTTGTCAACAGTTATTTTTCAATGGTGATTATTTTTTAAGATTAGATTTTGTTCTGTGCTCTCCAGATAAACCAGCTCCGATCCCTGGGTCTTGGTTTCCTTCACATTGTCCAAGTTGCCTTGCAGAACTCGCTTCATTGCTGTGCAAGAATATGACAGGGTGTCAACAAGTCATTTTCCTCTAGGCCTTAGCTGCTGTGCTGTTCTCCAGGCAGCTGACATTACCAATCTGTACTTCAGATTCCTCCTGCTTCCTTGTTGCAA